GGGGGGGGGGGCGAAGCATCCAGAAAACCAGTACAAATTTATCAGGGACAGTTATAAGGTCCTAGAAAACAGTGAAAAGTTCCTCTTGAGGTGGTGCTACAGAGCCATTAGGAGGACATTTAAATACCATTGTAGAAATAACACAAGAGCCGCTCCAGTATTTCCTTACTAACAGGGCTTAGGGTGTGATGACATAGTTCTAGTTTATTTCTCCACGTGCTTGGTCTCCTTCCTGATATTTTAGGAGATGTTTCTTAAAAGCACAATTTGCAAGAAAAGGGAGTGTCTTAAATACATGCACACATGCTAATTTATGCTAGTAGCCCATGTTAGTCCATGAACTGTCCTTAAATTCATGGATTTGTCATCAACAGCAACAAGAGGGGTCTCAGGAGATAGCTGCACTTTGTCGACTGTTCATGTAAAATTTGCAGAATATACAGGGTGTCCCCCCAAATGTATACATACTTTAACAGCTGATAGCCTAATTTTGAAAATGAAATGTATATTAATAACCACTGCCTTTATAATTATTCAAAGTGTGTGTATACATTTTTTTGGAACACCCTATATTTGAGTGTTTAGGGCCCACAAAATCTGGATCCACCCCCTGACAAGAGGCATTTTATGGTTTAAGATATTTTAGTAACAATCACTGGGGGAGGAGATGACAAGTCAGAATTCACCAGCCAACAGAAAAGCCTGGAGCTCAGGAAAGAAAGGCGGCTGTCCATGCTGAGGCCGGTCATTCACTCATCCTGGGGCTCCCAGGCCACAGGTCTCAACCTTAGCCAGGGATGAGCACATGGATGTTGCCAAGTTGTGACACTGTGGGCTGCAATCTTCAGTGAGACTATAGAGGATCATAGTAACAATCATTGCTGCCAACTGAAAGAGAAGCAGACAGCATTTCCACCATTAGGGATTTTTTTTGTTTGTTTGACTGGTTGGTTTTAAAAATTACATTTGTTTCATCTTTTTCACATTCTGACTCATTTTTGAGCCTTTGTGCTCTGAGTGCTGAGGGCCTGTGGGTGACAAGAAGGCTCCATCCTGTAGGAACACTCGCTGCTCTCCTCAGGTCCTCTTTCTCTCTACAAATAAATCTGGAATTTCTACCCCTGTAGCTCAGCAGAGACTGAGCTTCTGGAAAAGAGGGAGTCAATTAAGGAACACCAAGAGATTTTGGATGATTTTCAAAATACTGACCCACCAAGTAGTGCCCAGGCAGCAATGGGCCAGACAGAGCAGAGGATCTCGGGGATGTCGACTGTGTAGGACCAGGAGGCCTGGGAGGTCCTGATGAGAGTTCAGGCAGAGTGGCCACTGGACCAGTGGGTGCAGGCGACACTCCTCAAGAGGGCTCCAGCTTTTGTTAGCATGTGGGTCTTGGGTTATAATTTCCTCTGTTGACCCGGTGGCTGGTCCCTGGGCAGTCAAAACTATTCCCATCGCACTGAAAAGCTCATAAATAGCTTTCAGAGATTCTGCACCTCTAATGTCTCAGAGGGGACCTATAACAATTGCAAATGGGACTTTCAAAATTATGTGGGGAGCGTTTCCCCTTTAGAAATTTCTACTACAGATTTATTCAAACACATAAACCAGGAGTTGGCACCCTAGCCTATTTGGCTCAGTGCTTAGAGTGCTGGCCACAGACTGAAGGGTCCTAGGTTCGATTCCTGCCACCAGCACATACCTCTGTTGTAGGCTCAATCCCTGGGGTCAGGGCAAGTGGGGGAGGCAACCAATTGATGAGTCTTTCTCACATCAATGTTTCTCTCTCCCCCTTCTACTCTCTCTGAAAAGCAATGGAAAAAAAATATCCTAGGGATATTTAAATCCTGGAAATCCTTGGGATTAAAAAAAATAATAACAACAACAACAACAGAAAACAGGAGTTGGCAAACCCAGGGAGTAAATATTATTGGCTTTGCAGACCATACCATCTTTGTTACCACTCTGCTCTTGTAGCCCAGGTAGTGCTACAAACAGTAAATAAGCAGTATGCAAATAAATGCAAACAAATGGGCGTGGCTGTGCAATGGTGTAAACAACAAAGAGAATGTTGTTTACAAAAGCAGGTGGCAGGCGTGGCTTTGTCAACACCTCTTCTAAAGCCTAGTTTGAGTTGGCGAATGAGTACAAACAACCTAACTGCCCTTCACAAGGGGACTGGTTAAACATGACAGGATCCAGCCATGGAAAGGTGTTAAGCTCTGAAATGTGTTACCCCAAAATTCATATAGTCGACCCCCCCAATGTGACTGTATTTGGAGGAGGGGTCTTTAAGAAGGTAATTAAGATTCAATGAGGTCATAAGGGTGGGCCCCTGATTCAACAGGACTGGTGTCCTTATAAGAAGAGGAAGAGACGCCAGAGATCTCCCTGTGCAAGGACAGAGGAAATGTTCAGTGAAGACACAGCGAGAAGACATGAGCTACAAGCCAGGGAGGACTCTCACAGAAATCAACCCTGGCACGTTGGTCTTAGACCTCTACCTTCCAAAACCATAAGAAAATAAATGTCCTTTCATCCATGCAGTCTGTGGTGATTTGTTACAATGGTCCAAGCGACCAAGGGATACTCTGTAGCTGAGAAAACCAGTGCTGAGTACCAATAGTACCCAGGTACTGGCATGAGAAGATTTCCAAGTGACAGTCTCTTAGGAGACGAAATGAAGTACAGAGTCACGTGAATGGCAAGCATGAATGAATAGACAAATTGGAATATTACTCAGCCATAAAAAGGAATGCAGCTCTGCCACACGCTACAATGTGGAAGAACCTCCAAACATCAGGTTGAATGAAATAAGCCAGATGCCAAAGGCAACATGTTGTTTGATTCTATTTATATGAAATGTCCAGAATCATTTGCAGAGGCAGAAAGTAGATTTGTTGTTGCCAGGGGCTGGGGAGGGGGAAATAGGACTGACTGCTTAATATGGACAGTTTCCTTTTGGGCTGATGAAAATGTTTTGGAACTAGATAGAGGTGGAGTTGCACAACATCGTGAATGTATTAAATGACACTGAATTGTACATTTAAAAATGGTTAACTTTCTGTATGTGAATTTCACCT